AAAATGTCGTCTTTCCCCGGGATTGCATGCCGTGAAAAAGAGACGCGCACACGTTCATCCACTAAAAGGGATCACGGCCGGAAATCTTAGGACGAACAGAGTAGACGCTTGCTCTCAGGAGGTCTTACACTTCCGGAATAACCGGATGTTCCAATGGAGATACATCGGACTTCTGCTCGTTTCTTTCTTCATGGCTCTCTCTTTCTCTCTCTCTCTGTCTTTCTTTCTTTCTTTCTTTCTTTCTTTCTTTCTTTCTTTCTTTCTTTCTGTCGTCGAAGATATACCTACATACCTATAATCATATATCAAGGAAGAGAATCGTTGATATATGAATCGAGATCTGAAAAGAGTTTGCGGATAATCTTTGACCATCGTTATCGGATGTAAAATGAAACGAATCGGTTGGAAAGTATTAAAGTCGTTAATGAATATTGATGAAAGATCAAAAGAATTCTAGTAAATAGGAAATATCAAGAATATTGTGGATATGTATTATATGGATAACGATCGAGGACGCGTTGTAGCGTTCTTTGTTAAAAGACACGATAACGTGTAACCCGATAATTTATAGCAGCGCACGGCGAAGACCTCGTATAAAGTTCCGTACGTTAAAGCGGGTAAGCGTGTGCATATTATACGCGCGAGCACGTACCCACGCGCGAGGAGAGCCGCACGTAGGCTCGCGTCTCTCTCTTTCTCTCTCTCTCTCTCTCTCTCTCTTTTTCTCTTTTCATCTATCTCGTTCCCCATATGCTCTTCTGCGCTGCGTAATGACGAACAAGCGAACGAACGAGCGACGAGACGGAAGAGCGCTCAAATTTCCCGCGTGAACGACGCGACTAGTAACTACGTAGGACAAAGAGAGAGAGAGAGAGAGAGAGAGAGAGAGAGAGAGAGAGAGAGAGAGAGAGAGAGCTCCCGAGCGCAACCTCCTTTCTTCTTTTTCGCTATCTTTCTTTCTCTCCTAGCATCTTCCTTTCTTTGGACTTCAAGTCCAAAAGTCACTTATAAAGCAGCCCGCTGTGAAGCAGGAGGGGAAAAAACGGTGAGCGATTAAGCGGACTTAAAGGACCGATGGACAGAACCGGATGAACCTTTCGAGGACGGCGGTACTTACTCGCATGCCATTTATCATTTATTTAAACGTTCACGGTTGACTCAATAAAGATAAATGTTTTCTCCTTTGAAAATATTCATTTTGGAAAAATGTCACAAATAGTCTTGTAACGATATTCTTTCTCTAAACGAACTGAACAAAAGCGAAGAGGATCGTAGTAATAAAGATGACAGAAAAGTAATTTAACGTACTACTCGTTTTATTTCATTATTGTATTCGAAAAGCTTGACGTAGGTAAACGAATAATCACGCTTCAATTATGCTTTATAAATAAATATTATCTATTGTAAAATCTACGTGAACGGGAATATTCGATTGAAAGGCGAAGATAAGCGAAGAAATTGATCGCTTTGATGAATTAGAAATCTACGTTGGTACGACATAGACGGATAGATAGATACACCGTGCGAACGAGGATACATACATATATCGATCGATTTTGTAAAATTCGCGAACACGAAATCGAGAAGGACGAAATCGAGAGAGGGTGGTTTAACGGTAAAGGACCTACGTTCGGCAAAGTTCGTGTAACAGCTGGACGATTCGCGCGGACTTGCCGTAAGGTTCGACCATTAGCCTTTCCATGTATGCGAGCTCGCAGCCGAACGCTGGGAAAAGCGGCCAAAGTCGAGGGAGAGGCTCCGGTTCTATCGGGTTTTCCCGGTTTAGCTGGACCCAGTTGTCCTTCTCTCTCTCTCTCTCTCTCTCTCTCTCTCTCTCTCTCTCTCTCTCTCTCCCTCCCTCCCTCTCTCCCCCTTTTTCTGGCTCAGGATATCGACTAGGGGGATAGGAAGCAAGCAGAGAGAAAGAGAAAGAAAAGGACAGGACAGGGTCAGCCTATTCCGATAGGGTGGTGGTGGTGGTGATGGTGGTGGTGGCGACGGCGGTGGCGGCAGCGGCGATGGCAACGAGTACGAAGGGTGGCGACGAAGGGCGTCGCGGCAACGCTCTGTCTACGTGTCGCATGCTCGAGAGCGTGTCAGCGCGAACGACGGCGAAGCTTTAAATATTCGATGCTAACGCCGCGCTTCCACGCTCCCCCGTCAAAGCGAGGCCGTCGCTTTGAAAGCATCGTGAAACTTTTAGCGAGGCTTCGAAAGCGATCGAACGATCGTTGAGCTCCGCAGGCCTTATAACCAATAAGTCTTACCGATCTTTCGCTGTTTTCGCTCGCTTTCTCTTTTCCTTTTCTTTTTCGGTCTTTTCTTTTTTTTTTGTTTTTTTTTTTCTATTTTCCCTTTCCCTCCCCTTTTCTGTTACCCGTAAGAAACTAAAGCTACGAGCGCGACGAATTTCGTTGTGTTATCTCCAAAGAGAGATTTTCTTTCGGGGATTCTTCGAACGATCTTTTTCGCGAGTCGAAATTTCCTTCTACACGGGCAACCAATTGCCGAGGGTAAAACCCGGCAAAAAGATTTGGAATTTCCCAAGGTACGAGAAAAGGGAGGAAGAAGCGAAAGGAAGAAAGAAAAGGGCAGGACGACGCGACCAGCTTCCGTACCTGAGGGCAATACACGCCGCTGTTATATGGCGGTTGTATATCTTCGCGAGGGATACGTCGGTGGAAGCTCCGACCGTTTCTAGGTAGTCAGGATCGGCCTTGTTCTCCCTTTTCGAAGGCCCCGCGTTCGTACCCGCTCCACCTTCTTCTTCTTCGACTCGGCAATCTCTCTCTCTCTCTCTCTCTCTCCCTCCCTCTCTCTCTCTCTCGACTCTTTCGGTTAATCTGCGAGACAGCTGTGCCAGGGATACACCCTCGCCTAGGTCTCTCCTTTATTGCCGCGTCTTCTCTTCTTTTTTACGTCATTATTAAAAGAACGCCCCGACGGCGACGACAACGGCGACGGTGACAGCGAAACCTAAGGAAAGTGTTTTTCGAGCCGTGAACCGCGCGATTAACGTGACATACCCGACCTTTCCCGTCCTTTCCCTTAAAATTATTCGTATATACCTGAGCCTTAAGTCCTAAGAAATGGACGGTCAACCTTATCTCTCGCGAATATTCTCTTTACCTGCTAAACCGTTTTTACAGTCCTATTTTCTAAAAGATCCACGGGTCAAGAATTTAAACACTTTCTCGGCGAAACATTCGAGTGCTCTTCGGCACATTTATCATTTGTTGCGTTCGAGGGGGTACGCTTTTATTTAAACAAGGTTTTAGGTAGAGAAAGAGAGAGAGAGCTTATGTACTTATGTAGGTACTTTTCTTTAGACCGATCACGGTGGTTAATGGCGAAGAGACAAAAGACGCTAGCGTGACGCGGGTTCGAGTCTATTCCGTAACGGCGGAAGGGACTGTGGGGAGGGCAAAGAGAGGACGAAGGGGACGGTCGATGCCGTACACTACGCTACGCTAGAAGGATCGATCGGTAAGTTCGAAGAAAACAGGACGTGGCTTTTCGAAAGAGCACGATCCGTACTAGAGGAACACCGCACATTTTCGAGCCCGTTCTATTTTCGAAAGCTTTCTCGAAAAAAAGGAACAAAAAAAGAGAGAGAGAGAGAGAGAGAGAGAGAAACAAGAAGAAGACCGATTTAAAAAAAAAAGAAGTAATTATCAAAGCTTTTTCGCTTAATGGATAAAAACATTTGTTTATGCGTAATTAAAGCTTTACGAAAGGATAAATGAGATAACGCGTGGAGAATATTCGAGATTTGATTGAAAAAAAAGACTAAAAAGGAAAAAAAAGAGCACGAAAGAATCGCGTATCACGAAAAAAGACACGGGAATAATCCGAAAATCCGGACGATTTCGTTCTAGCGTGATGTAATAACGATTTAATAAGAGCAACAGGCGACGCCAGCGGAACGCGTATGCCGACGACTATTCGATTTGTTTTACTCGATTTCATCGAGTGTACAGATATCATCGGTCTGGTAGAGGCCAAGAACTTTCTCTATTTTCGTACAATTTCCTCTCTATATAAATATTATACACGTACATTTGTGTATATACGTTTATATATACATGTATATATATATATATATATATATATATATATATATATATATACACACACATACACACTGAAGCATTAAACGCAACTTTTTCTAATCTTTTGTTAAACCGTCCTTTTCTCTCATATTGTACCTTTCTACCTGACAAGGGATGCTATCAGTCAAAAGTAAGAAAACGTCTATTGTCATAAAATTAGATAGCAGCGGAAAAATTGTATAGTAAGACCCAAGTCTTAAGAACAATTAGACCCTTCGACGGTTTTCAATTTGTGACAAGCAAAGATATATACCGTGTTCTCATTCTAAATCTTTTCTTATTTCCTATATACTGTCTTATACATACCATTTTCGACCCTTCAATCTCTTTGTACGTAGTTTCCTTAAACTCTGAATATCTAACAACCGAACGAAAAGAAAAGTAATTTGGTAATTCTGTTTGAAAGTTTTCAACGATTCGAATTTCATTCCTTAGTCACGTATTTTTCCAACGGATATGTGGATAAGCGGCGAATCGATAAAAAAAAAAAGAAGAAAAAGAAAGAAAAAAAATGTCAACACGTTCGTCGAGCCTAATGTCGCGTATTAAATATAATTCAAATATAATGTAAACTACACGAGGACGAACAACGATCAATCCATGTTTTCTCGTGAAAAGATGCGGAAACTAGGTCGGAAGTTTTCGTTCGAAAGAGCAATAAATTTGACTCCCGATCTTTTGGATCATAATAACTGCGCGCGCTTTGGATTAAGTTTCCCTTTGAATAACCTCTAGGTCACCGTATAAAAAGGAAACTTGTTGCGTTTGCTGTACGTGTATATGTAACTACACACACACACACACACACATACACTTATATATATATACATATATATATATATATATATTCCTCCATAAACGATACAGAAGGCATACAGCTACATTCGCATATGGGTGAACGATATCGAAATCCACGGGCTATGAGCGGAATCGTGCTCCGTCAGAGTGATACAGAGAGAGAGAGAGAGAGAGAGAGAGAGAGAGAGAGAGGAGAGAAATAAAAAGGAAAGAGAAGAGAAGAAAGAGAGAAGAGAGAAGGACGGAACGAAGGAAGAAACGGAATTCGCTTAGTTAAAGTTTGCCGTTACGATACAAATGTAATCGAAATTTCCTCTCTCTCTCTCTCTCTCTCTCTCTCTCTCTCTCTGTCTGTTCGTTCGATGGGTCATCGGTTATATCGAGCTCTATTTTCAGTTCGGCCAGTTAACTCGATAATTTGCGTTTTCGGTTGAGGTACGACCGTTACCAGGCATACGCTAGGAAATGTTTCAACGAATGAATGGAATCGTGCGATGAGAATCTCGATGCAACGGCAACTGACTATCGTGTCTCGCACTTGTTGCAACGCGTCGCACCCCAAGCAGAAAGATAGGATCGACCCACTTCTATAACTCGGCTTTCTGATATATGACTACGCTTCTAACGCTTCCAAACGTACGTAAGGGATTTAGCGATAAGGGTTGGTAAGACGGTAAAGAAACTGACGAGGCACGGCCAAACTTTTTCCTTCGCTTTTATCGATCTTGGTTTTAGCGAGCAACGTACGTGAACACATTCCTGCCAAATCCGTTAGGGAACTGAGAGAAAATTGGTAAGAGTAAGAGTATTTTTTCCTATCGCGATAACGATCCTACCCATAATCGTGAAAATGTTTTTCAGCATGAAAAGGTTAATCTTCAGTACGGTTTATCTTTCGTTACGCGGTAAGAGAGGAATTATTGCCGTTGACTCATCGATGGATACAAACGAAGAACAGATACACGGCATTGTTTTCCTTCGACTTTCTTATAATTTATTTCTAGTTTATACTCTACGAGCGACACAACAAAGATATCCTACCGATAAACAATTCGATAACTCGATTATCGATATTTCAATCATCTAGTCTATCGAAATTTTTTCAATATAATTCTCCTATAGGCTTACTCATTGTTTTTCTACGAAAAATAATCGAACTGAAAGTCGCGTTATATACCTGAAAAAAGGTACGAACGGTTCAAGATTTACAACTACTGATGTCCCTGAAGCTCGAGGGACAGACAGTTCCTCACGGAACATAAAGACATTATCGTTGTTGTGCCTTTCATATATTTTATGTTAAAGTCGAGGCAAATGGCGTAAGAAGATCGTTCAATTATCTTTCGGCGATTTCAAAAACAAATAAGTTCCGTTAGACATTTTATTCCCTTAAACGTAGTTATAATTTTATGACTTTTATTATTCCTATTAAATTAACTACATCGAGAATACTTTGTAACATTTTTTATTAATGAAAAAGCATGCTCTCCACTCCATTTCCATGTTTACATTTTCCCACGAAAAATCGTGGCTATACTTTTTCAGAGTCATAATATAGTTAAGAGTTTCGATCAAAATGAGGAGAAGTAAAATGGAACGTCGAAGATTTGGAATCGGTGAGAGGTGGAGTAGAACAGGGGAAGAGAAGGAGGAAGATGGTAAGGGAAAGAGAAGGGGCATCGAGTTCCTTTTTACTTACACCACACGTTCTATCGATCAGCATCCGATTCTTCCCTTCTTTCTTTCTCGCGTATACTTAGGAAGAAAAGAAACCGGACCGCGAAGGATGACGGGAGCCTCTCGCAGCTTTTATACCCGTCGAAATAGCCGAACGAAAGTAGTCTCGCGGGCTTGTCGATTTTCTCTCTCTCTCTTTCTCTCTGGCTTTTGGCTAGGTAGATGGGTAGATGGGTGGGTAGGTAGGTAGGTAGGTAGGTAGGTAGGTAGGTAGATATCCCGTTTTCTCCGTCGCGAGTTAACTCCTCGGGTCGTCCAAAGCCCGCGGTCGGTCGGTTGGTCGGTCGGTCGGTCGGTCGTACCGTAGAGCTATGTATTTACACCAGGGTAGCTTCCTCTCTCCCCCATCCTTTTCTCTCTCTCTGTCTCTCTCTCTCTCTCTCTCTCTCTCTCTCTTCGTCCGGCCCTGATACCTAGTACATAGGACTGGGGCAGCCAGCACCTCCCACCCTCTCTCTCTCGTACTCGGTCTCTCTCTCTCTCTCTCTCTCTCTCTCTCTCTCTCTCTCTTCTCTCTTTCTCTCGCTATCTCGTAAAGCGCGTAGGGTGGTAGAGTAGAGAGAAACGCGATGGGAGCGGAGGAGAGGACAGAAGCAAGGATACCGGAGAGAAAGAGGGGTTAGGAGACAGCTGCAGGCCATGCGAGGGTCCGCCGACCAAGCCTGGCCGTTTACCGCGGAATACACGGCGAGCGAGCGAGCGCGCGCGCGAGATAGAACCAACACCAATGAGAGAGCGAGAAAGAGATAGAAGAAAGGAGAGTATACGCGATACGCGAGTGATAGAGAGAGAGAGAGAGAAAGAGAGAGAGGTCTCCCTTATTTCGTCCCGCGACCCGCGGAGACCCTAGTTCGCTCATCGAACCCACCCCTTCCATCTACCACGACGCGTACACGGTGCGCTCGAACCTTCTCTTTCTCTCTCTCCCTCTCTCTCTCTCTCTCTATATATATATATATATATATATATATATATATATATACATATATATATATATACATATATATATATATATCTCACACCTTCTTCCCACTTCCCCTACTGACATCCTCTTCTCTTATCCCACGAAACCTCGCCACCCACCGACACCGACGACGACGACGACGACGACGACGACGACGACGACGACGACGACGACGACGACGACGACGTCGGCGAGGATGATGACTACGACGAGGACGAAAACGAGACTAGGACGAGGACGGCAATGGCAAAGGCGAACCCTTGGCGCCCCTTTGCTCTTAGCCGCGGATACGAAAGCCGGTGTGCGCGATGTATACGAGGGCGAGAGAACGAACGAACGAACGAACGAACGAATAAACGAGAGAGCGAACGAGCAAGCGAACCTTCGACGAGCTACGGCCAAGTTCCCGTAACTCGCGCTCCGGTAAATTTCCACGGAGACCTCCTTGTCCCACCACCCTCTCCCCCCTCGCTCCCGTCCTCCGTCCCCCAGGCGGCCGTCGCTCTCCTTTTCCTCTTACCACCGCGCTCTCCGTTCCTCTACCATCGGCAGCCGCCACCGTGGCCAACCTTCCTTGTCCTTCTTCTCTTTTCCTCTTCTTCTTCTTTTTCTTTTTCCTTTGCCTCCTCCTTTTTCGTCGTTCCTTTTCCATCTACTCGAGCTCTCCGAGCGGGCACTTCGAGGATTTCTTCCTCGGCGACGATTATGTGGGTGCCTGACCGGACGTTGTAGGTGTGCGTCTAGGTATGGGTGACGCGCGAGTGTACGAGGGTGGGAGAGCGAACTAGCGTGGGTATTCCTCCTCTAGCTCGGCTATAGGGTGCCGAGGTATCGATCTTGTTTTTTATCGGCTGGAAATTCCGAAATCTCGCGATAGGGTGAAAGATAGACAGAGAGAGAGAGAGAGAGAGAGAGAGAGAGAAAAGGTTGCTAACGGTAGACGGTTAAAGGGAGTAGGTCGTTTAGATACAAAAACTCGTTCGAGAAGCTCCATTTCGAGAACGAGCTTGAACATAAAATTCGTGAAAATGAGAATCGAATCAATGTAGAATTTGGATTATTCGAATCAACATGAAAGTAATCATTGGTAATATTTGATTGAACGAGCTAGTTTTCCATTAAATAAATTTTACCAATTTGGTCATTTGTCTTTCACGATGGATATCGTTCTAAATATATTTAAATAATTATCTATCCTTAAACGATATTTTTCTATAAGGACAAAGAAATCGTCGAAAGATAAGAAAAATTAGTTAGAAGGAAAATATCACGAGAACGAGTCTTCATCGTAGAAAAGTTGTAACATGGAACGAAAACGGAAGAAACTCATAATCGTTCGAAAGTTATAACCCAAAGAAAAGAAGTCGCCGCGTTCCTCGTGAAAATGTGAATTCTTGCGGAGGAAAAGTTTGAAGGTCAACAGGTCGGTACGGTATCGAATACGTGTTTCGCGATGGTAATAGACATTGGCCCGATACTCGGCTATCGATACATCTTTCCAAGTTGTCGAGTGGGAACGATATCGAAGCGTTCTCGACATTGCTTCTAGAATGATTCGATGAGAAAAATCGAGATCAAAGTTTGAGAAGATTTCCCGATCGTTCTTTCTCGCACGATTTCTTCAGAGAGAGAGAGAGAGAGAGAGAGAGAGAGAGAGAGAGAGAGAGAGAGACAAGCCGTAGAAAACGTAGAGGAGATGAGCTTTTTATCACGATCTGATCTTTCACGGACAAAGGGAATAAGAGTGGGGGTTAATTGTCGTTCGAAGGTTGTGCCATTATTCCCTTTGCGGGAGTCGCATCTCCTCTAGCGTAATAATTTTCTTTTTTATGAATGAACTTAACCCTCCGTCTCCTTCTCCCATATCCCTACTCTTTCTTCCTCTCGTCGATCCATCTCGCTCTCGACGACATCGTCGCGTCGTATCTTTCTCGAAGCTGGGGGTCGTTCTAATGGTTTTCTATACTGGGTCTTAAAGGTTATTTTCGTTTTTCGAATATGACGATATCTATGTATAATATATATATATATATATATATATATATATATATTTTCGTTGTCCGAAAAGATTTGGAAAAATACGAATTTAATCGTATACATCCACAAAACGCAAGATAAATTTGATGGACATGGTGATAACGACTATATGTATGCATTTGTGCGTGTATATATATATGTATATATATAAAGAGAGAGAGAGGGAGCAGAGAGGGATGCGAATCTAATTCATCGAACTGTGATTCCGTAGTTTGTTACTGCGTTTCCGCGCTTTTAAACCTCGCGCACTTTTTGCTGAATGAGGTAACTTTAATAAAGTGGACGAATTAAAACGTACCATTCCAAATGCAATTACATGACGATACGTCGAAATACATGGCTATATAGAAATATATGAAATATATGGCTATATAAAAAGCTATATATATATATATATATATATATATGTGTGTGCATATCAGTATGAAAACGCGAACGAATACGTACATATATACCTACGTGCGTATACGTGTCTGGCCGAAACTTTTCACGTATCAATTTTCAATTTTTGTAATCGATCGAAATGGTTTTTGAATAAAAAATGACAATAACAAATTTTAAGCTTTATTCGATCGAAACGAATAACGTGAACGAAACTATTTTATTAAATACTAGAGAACCTTGATAATTATTCATCGTATTTTCAAATGACCCGTTTATCCCTTTATGAGTCACGGTCGGCTAAAGACGAACCTGTAAACAAGTTAATATCTTTGTTTATTACTTCGTTAACAATGCCTACGAAAACATAGCTGATATTCGTAGATATTATCGAAATGCTCGAGTATAATAGAACATCGATATATCACCTCGTGTTTTTTACAATACAATCGCGTTGATGCGATATGGGCAATACTTGGGAGCGTTTCTATATAAAATCACAGATAAGTACTTTATCGTAAGCCAAACTCTATAATCGAATTATAATAAGACTTTTTAATTAGATACTTGAATTTGTAAAACTTTTTATTTTACGTTTATTTTTTCTAAATTCTTCGAACGTTTCGTATCACGTTTGAATTTCAATATGCAAATTAATGTATATTTACAAAATTATTAAAAACCCTTGAATGGCAAGTAACATTGCATTCGAGAACATATGAAATTTCACATATAACGAAATTCCAACTTTTCTATACGTTTTCGGTATATCCGATAACACACGGTTTTTATAAAAGACAAACGCGTTCGTCTAATTCCTATTGCTTTTAACTTTCTCATAATAACGGTACGCAAATAAATCGCATTTAATAGGGATTACTTCTATACGACAAATATGAATTTGTAGACATCACTGATTGGGATCAACGGACGTTTCTTATCGAAGACGATGATCGTAAAGTTGGCGCCAACTTATTACACTTCAAGACTATATATGGGATCGTCCTTAAAACATTCGTAATAGAATATTTTTCGAGTACCAACATAACACGACAGCGATTTCTATCGTATAATTCGTATGAAAAGTGAAAATAGATAAATTTAAATAAATTAGTCATTAATTCGTTCTTCAACTCCTAAGAAAGAGATCGATCCCATTGCCAATTTATGGTCCGCCGACGAGGCCGACGACGACGACGACGACGACGACGAAACAATGACCGTTAAGATCGCCGTTCATGGTTCACGGTTAGTATTATTGCGGCACGTAGCATCACGCGTACACGTAAGGACAACTCATACCGAGCAAAGAGGGGAAGGAAAGAGAGAGAAAGAAAGAAAGATAGATAGAAAGAAAGAAAGAAAAAGAGAGAGAGAGAGAGAGAGAGAGAGAGAGAGAGAGAAGCGCACGTGTGCCGTTCGTCGCACATCCTTCCGCGAAAGCTTGTCTCACGAAGGAAGGCAGGTGAAAATTAATTGTACGGGTTACCGGCTTGCTCGAGGAACGTTCGAGGAGGAGGAGGAGGAGAAGAAGGTGGAGGAGAAGAAGAAGAAGAAGAAGCAGAAGAAGAAGAAGAAGAAGAAGACGAAGGAAGAGGGACACGCGTTTACTGCCGTCTTCTTGGCGGCGCTCAAAGTACGGGTCGTCGTACACACACAGGATGCGTCGATCGATTTTGCCTCCTCTTACCCTCCGCGACGCCTGTTTCCCTCCGACCTATCATCGTCTCTCTCTCTTTCTCTCTCTCTCTCTCTCGACCCTTTTTCTCCGTCCATCTTTCTCACGCACGCACGCACGCACGCACGCACGCACGCACGCAGCTCAATTCGTTAATAGTCGCACCGGTCCTCGAAACCAAACCCGTCGATAAGGTATATCCGCTATCGTTGCGAATTTCTTTCTCGTACGTCTTCACATTTTCGAAAGATGATATTTTCGCATCCGACGATTCTATATTTAGATCGGCTACGAGAGAGCCAACGTAATAATAAAAAAAGAGGAACGGAAGTGGACTACTGCTGATATCGTTATTAATATTATTTATAATCAGCTGCTACCCTTTACGACAAATTTCTTTTCTACGAATAAAGTACTTATTAGATAATTAAAGATACGAATAGCGATTATTAATTTTTCAAGGACGCTGAGAAAGAAAGATGAAGGGAGAGAGAGAGAGGGACAAAGAATTACGTGTACGTTCAATCTTTTTTTTTCTTTTGAAGAAAAAAGAAATGAAAATTATTTTCGTGTTATAAAAGTTGTCTCTGAAGAGACCGAGAGAAAGAGGGAGACGCGAAGAGTAGTTGTGAAAAACTTTCTGACCTCAGCGCTACACTTTCTTTCCAGAAAAGTGGAACTCTGAAAATCGGTATGCGAGCGAGCGATAATTATCGGGAGTAGGGCGTCGTCCTCGTCGTCTCCTTTCTCC